AGATTCCATTTCGAGCCCTATCATTGGTCAAAACAAACACCCTTCAAATTCCCTTGATTCTAACATGCCCAAACTAATCAAATGTCAAAGATTATAAATTGTCCTAAAGGCTTAGTTTGAAAGGAGTACAAATGCAAATATATAGAGTGCAAAACCTTATATTTGTATTATTTTCTATATATTTGCACTATACATATTTGTATTTGTACTCTTTCCAAACTGAGCCAAAAGGGCAAACCTTGCTAGGGTGAAATTCTCATTAGAGAATTGAAATTCTCATTAGAGAAACCAATTTCTCCTAAGACTAATCTAGCTATAGATGACCCAATTCGGTTTCCAATTTTAAATAGGTCCATACCTGATATGGAGGTCAGAAATTGCCAAACCCGAAGTTGTTCACACTCAAATTAAAGCCCGAATCAAACTCCAAGTCTATACTTTGTGTGCAGCAGCTATTAACCACTAGAGAAATCTAGGCTTTTGCTAGACAAATACAAAGAAAATAAGAGAGAAAAGTCTCCTTCAAAGGCCTAATTAAACAGGCATCTCTCTTAAGCCCTGATTTCCCCAGGCACTTCTCAAATCCTTGGCCTCCCAGGCACTCCAAGTAAAGCCCTAGTCTCCCAGGCATCAATAAAATTGTACTTCATACATTCATGTTCATATATGTTTACATGCATAATATGCTTACTCAACTTACATGAAATACTAACATGCTAACATTGTTTTCTAGCACGGCTATGGGGAGCTGAATTTAGAGAGGTGCACGTTAGCATTATTTTCTAGCTTTTCTCATACTAGTCGCCCTATAATGATAATTCTTCCACATGACTAACCCCTGACTTAAATATAAAAAAAAAAAAGAAAAAATTCAGGCTACTGGTTTATAGTATTCAGGCTGCAACGGACTGAAGGAGTTCAATAAGTTTGATGTTGATACTTTCGTCCTACAGTGAATGATTTCAATTGATAACAAATGTTCAGTATTATTTTGATGTATAAGGTGAACATCATAAAAAAGATTTTAGGACATCATAACAAAGACTAGTTACAAACGAATCTGTCATATATATATATATATATATATATATATATATATATATAAGGCGGTGAAGAAATTTTCTCATTTTTTTTAATTTTTAATTTTTTTATTCCATATCATTTTTGAAATAACCAATGAGATGCACTTCTCCAATAACCTAAATAACCTCTTCTCCTAAAATATCTCCTAAACTACCTTCCCCACTATCCCCTACTTTCTCCTAAACTATCTCTAATTCTTATTAATCTTCTAAATTATCTCTAATTCCTATTTATCCTCTCCCTCACTTTTTATTTATATCTATCTAAAGAAAGTTTGAATTAAAAATTTTAAGAATTATTTAAATATTCTAACAAATTTATATAATAACTTTAAAATATTTATTAAAAACATAAAAAAAATAATTTATATTTTTACAAAATATATCACGAAATTATGTACTAACAATTTAAATTTTGTTTTTCTGGATTATCAATTTAAATGTTATTCAAATAATAAAAATTTAACATTAAAAAACAAAATCTTATTTAAATATTTCAATAAATAAATATCTTAAATAACAAAATATTATAAATAATTAATATAACAAAATATTTAGTAATATGTAATAGCTTTAAATAAATAAATAAAATTCAAATAACAAAAAATTTAAAATATTTTACATATTATTTAAATATTTAAATAACTAATTATTTAACATAACTAGATTTTAAATAGTTAAAATAACGAAAATATTTAAATAATATGTAAAATATTATTTAACTAATTGAGAAATGACAGAACTGTGTAAAATTACATCTCCTTGGGGGGAAGGATTTCTCTTATCAGAGCCACCTTAGCAAATCTTCCAGTTTACTATCTCTCGGTGTTTAGTATGCCTCAAGCTATTGGGAAGAAATTAGAGAAGATAATGAGGGACTTTTAGTTAGATGGGAAGTAGTGACTAGAAGGAAGGATTTGGGAAGGCTGGGCATCGAAAAACTTAAGGAGAGGAATGAAGCTCTCTTGGGCAAGTGGTTATGGAGATTGCCAGGTGAGACAGATAGGTTGTGGCACAAAGTGGTAACCAATATTCATGGGTTCTTAGAGAATGGATGGGATGCTGGAGTTTCCAGTAGGGCTTCAAGCTTGTCACCTTGGAAGGCAACTCACAAAGTTCTCCCCTCGTTTCTTAGTCACACCGGATTTGGTTTTAATTTAGGTAATAAAATCAAATTCTGGGAAGATATTTGGGTGGGGGATTCTTAAAAACCCTCTTCCCTCCATTTTTGCTCTTTTGTCCCTCAAAGGTAGACCCATTGCCGATTTTCTTGCCCCCACCCCACCCTTGTCTGGTCCAACTTGGAACCTGGGACTTCACAGAAATGTCCAGGACTCAGAACTGGAGTCTTTGTCTTCTCTAATTCAAGTGCTTGATGGGGTGTGGCTTGACACTTCTAAACAAGACACCAAACTCTGGTCTCCCCATCCGTTAGGTGCTTTCAGTTGTGCCTCTTTTTTCAAGTCTTTGTCTTCTCCTGCTCAACCCAAGGAACCCTTCCCTTTATAGGAAGTTTGGTGTTGACCTATCCCTCATTAGGTGGGTGCTTTCTGTTGGGAAGTATATCATAGTGCAATTAACACTAGTGGTCTATTGTAGAAGAAAATACCTGGCTGGTGCCTTTCACCAAATTGGTGTTGTTTATGTAAGTCAAATGGTGAGAATGCTTTTCATATTCTTGTTTCCTGTCCTCTTGCTAGCAGCATTTGGGATTGGTTTCTCAACCTATTTGGATGCAGATGGGACACCCCGATGAGCTTGGAAAGATTATTTGTGCCATCCACATTTAGATGGCCAAAGCGAAGAGGGAGAATATTATGGAGATGCACAAGGGCAGCAATACTATGGGTAATATGGAAGGAAAGAAATCGGAGATTATTTGAAGATAAGGAAAGGGGCAAGGCGGAAATGATGAAGGTGATCTCATGGGTGAAAACACTGAACTTATTTTCAAATGTTACAGTGGATGATATGATCAGAAATTGGAGGATAGCTGCTTCTTCTTCCATGGCAAAAAGGAAGATCCTGAAGGAATGGGTGCCCCCTGAACCAGGATTTGTCAAATTAAATTTTGATGGCAGCAGTTCGGAAACCCAGGAAGATCTGGAATCGAAAGGGGTTATAAGAAATGAAAGAGGAGATGTGTTGGGGATGTACTCGGGTCCTATTGGAATGGGTAATTCTAGCTGAACTGAAGGCAATGGTATTTGGGATACAAAATGCTAAGGAGATAGGTGGAAAGAATGGTTGTGGAAGGGGACTCCAAAGTATTATCAGTTAGCTAAAATAGCATGACAACACACCCTGGATATTTAGAAATGACATCAAGAAGATTACAAGTTTATCCAAGGATATGCAGCTTTCAATTCAGTGGACTCATAGAGCTGCACATGGATTTGTAGACCAGCTAGCCAAACAAGGGGTGAACAGGGATTACTGCTTCTGGGCCCAATTGTAAATGTGAAAAATAAATTTATTAGTGGATGCACTATAGTGGGGTAGTTGAGGCTACTCATAAACTATAACCCCTGTAATTGCTATACATGAATAAAACTTCTTTCTACTAATCAAAAAAAATATGTAACTTAAAAATTTTCTTAAAAGTAAAAAAATAATTATGATATAATATTGAAATTAATAATAATTTAATGTCTTACAAAATTAATAATGAAATTATGTATTAATAGTATAAATTGTGATTTTATGGATTATTAAATTCAGTAAATAACAAAAAAATTAAATATTTTACATATTATTTAAATATTTAAATAACTAAATATTTAACACAACTATATCTTAAATAGTTAAAATAACAATATTATGTAATAAATTTAAAAAATTTCTTAAAGTATAAAATTAATTATAAAATAATATTGAAATTAATAATAATAATTTAGTATCATATAAAATTAATAATGAAATTACGAAATAATAGTATAAATTATAATTTTATGGATTATTAAATTCAATAAATAAATAATATTTTAAATTTTAAATATTTTACATATTATTTAAGTATTTAAAAAACAAAATATTTAACATAACTAGATTTTAAATTAGTTAAAATAAAGAAGTTATGTAATAAATTAAAAAATAAATCTGAAAAGTAGAAAAATAATTATAACATAATATTGAAATTAAAAATAATTTAATATTTTACAAAATTAGTAATGAAATAAATTTAATAATAATTTAATATTTTTACATAATATTGTAAATAACTAATTTCACTTATATCAATTAATAATTCAAGAAAATAACGTTCATAAAAATTAATATTTATTAATAATAATTTTAAACTCTTAATATATATTTATTGTATACTCATATATAATAATATTAATATTTATTGTATGTTAGTTATTCTTTATTGTCTTTTGTAATAAATGTATTTTCAATAATTATGTATGAATTTATTTTTATTTTACCATTAGGCTCATGATTTTTATTCCAAAAATACCCTTAACACTTTTTTGTATAGAAAACAAAATTGACTAAATATAACCAGTAGAGTGGTTGCCTATATCTTATTAAGGGTAAAAATGGTATTTTATTTTTTTATTAAATTTATTTAAATAAATATTAGAATCAATATTGTCATTTTCCATTGTCATCTAATGGAAAATTGATTAAATCCATTGTAAATTATAAGTGATGTTTTAGTAAAATACAAACTATATAATAGATTTTAGTAAATCCATGAAACTATGAGGTGTTTTAGTAAATGAACATTTCTATTATTTATTTAGTAAATGAACATTTCTATTATTTAACTTTCACTTAACAAATCCCATGCATCACACAGGTCCCCGCTAGTGAACTAGTAAAAAATTGAGAGGAACACCGGATACTCCATGTGTTATGTATAAAGCCATTGTATGTATGCACCAAAAGATTTTCATCTTGGTCAACATAGAATTAAAAAAAAAAAAATTGTGAAGAAATTGTTACATAGCAGTATCTCTATCAATGGAGAAGCACGATATAAAAATAAACTGTTGCAGCCTTTAGGCCAAGTGTAATTACGTAACACAAAAGCTAAATGGCAAATGAGTCGTCCATGTTAACTTTCTAGGTTATAACACAATCTCTGCACTTCTAATTTAATTAAAGAAGGCTTTCACTTACAGCCAGGAAAAAAATGCAAAGCCTCCCCCAAGCCAGAGACCAAAAAAACAAAACACCCTTGTAACCCCATGATTTCCATTTTTAAACATTGCTAGGAGCCCATTGGGTGGCCATGCTTCCTTTATGATACTTGAGTCTCGACGAGCAAGCAGTACCAGGGTACTGTCTTCTGGATCTTCACTAGTCACATTTTATGTTTCTGTAAATCCTCCGCACAAACAATGTAGAGCCAAGATAACCTACAGCTCCTGAGCATTCCAAAAGAGACAATCACCAATGTTAGCTCAAACGTAGAGAACATGATAAATAAAAAAACAACTGTATGTAAAAGAGAGGCACATCCAGCGCATCAAGGGATGTCCCATTAAGGGGTTTAAAAGGAATCCAACAATATAAAAGCACAAACAGTGTAACCGCTGTAAAAGCTTACCACAGAGAATTCCTAGCCCAAGGCAAAACATCAATGTGTATCCAAAATAGAAGCTGGTCTGAAAGAAGCCTGACATTTTTGTCTTGACATAGTAGTAGTATATGGAATAGAGATAAACATAGATAGCTGTTGATGCAGCAGAGAAGAATGAAGTCCATTGCCAGTGATAGTTCTCGGCATTTAGCAAGAAATATGTTCCCACAATTGTGACACAAACGGTAACAACAATGAGAATTAGGAATACCAGCAACATAAATCCATAAACATAGTACACCTGCAAAACAAGAAAAGCACGTAGAAAGCATAATTAGGTATAGTTTTTTGAACATCCCCCATTTGTCAACACATAAAGGGGAACTGGCAACTGGTCAACAGTTCAACCTCAGGGCCAAACTGTTGACTCATAAAATCAAACTTAAATCATTTTAAAGAGGCCAACAAATCATAAGAAAATTAAAGTATTGCAACATAGGGAAAAAAATTCCTGATTATATCAACTAAAGAAGCTCAACCAGGTACGTTCCCTAGACCATATTTCTATCATGTGGAGGAAAACATGTAGAGGATCCAGACCTTAGACAGTGGACTCACTAGATTCACCATGAGCATAGCCTTGCACTCCACATTAACTCTTTACCAAACTTCGTATTGGAGTTTTTCCCTATCTATAACAGTCATGCAAACTTTTATATATTTATTTGTTATACTTTTTTTTTGTTTGTTTTAAAAGCTTCTCATAAAATAAGGTTTATTCTGAACAGGTAGCAAGGACCCTCAGGCAGAATGTTTTCACTGAACCAAGAATGGGGAAAGAAACACAGAGATTCATTTTGAGCCTACTGTTTTAAAAGTAAGAAATACAACTAAAGTACCAGGGGTTCCTAAAAACACAAGGCTCAAGGCAAGAAAAAAGTAAGGTGCCACTTTTATTGAAGGTGACCCCAAGGTAGGATATAGAGATCCATGATGAAGAAGTTCATTATTCTTTGATTTTTTAGATATGCTTAAGTGCTGGTACTTTTCATGAAAATGATACCCAATATTCATATTCATAAAGAAGGGTAAATATAACGTTTACCTTGTAATTCCAGAAGGATGTGAATACAAAATACATCTCAATGAAGATGCTACCAAATGGAAGAAGGCCTCCCATTAGAGAGACAACAGAAGGTGTGAGATACCATTTCTTCTCAGGGATAGGGCGTGGAATAGTCTTCACACGGCAGGGATTGTTTGGAGCACCACTCCAGTTCCTTCCAACAACAGTACCAAGAAGTGCAAGAGGGAAAGAGATGAAAGCCCAAATTACAAACACAACAACCATTGTGCCAAAAGGAATAGCTGCTAGGGATCCATAGAATATGGCAATTGTGTTTAGTATGAAACCAATGCCAAAGCACATAAACGGGAAAAGGGATGCTGTGAGAATCATCGATTTTATCCAGTTTTTACCTGACATTATGGCATAAGAATTGAATTAATTATGTTGAAAGCATAAGCTGAAGATGAAAGAGAAAAGTAACTGCAGAAAAAATACTTAAATGGAACTGAAAAAATCAGTGGCCTTCAAAACGAAAGTAAAAGAGGATATTGAATGATCAGAAAAAAGAACATACCACCATTGCGTGAGTAGAGTCCACCACTCACATAGCCCGAAATGAACGACGTAAGAGCATAACATACTATGAAAGTTGTCACAATTGCTCCACGACTGAGCAACAAATTTAGCATCACAATTAATTATTAAAACCAAACTAATGAAATAAAGTAAACATGTGAAAAATAAAGAAGACAAACAAGGGAAACATAAAAGATAGCTTGCACAAAGGAACCAACTCTATTCCATCAAAGCAACTAGGCAAAAGAACTGACTGGCACAAAATGAAGGAATAAATCTCTACGTACCCAACATACAACATTCCGATGATCGCCAATAAGATGACAAGGAGAACAAGCATTGTAAGTTGAGCACCTGTGCCAACAACTGCTGATAGTAAAACCAAGTTGCGCGGAGGACGAAAAACATCCCCATGGACAAGTTTCCAACCTGATTCCTCACTTACATCTCTTTCCTGATGGCAGGGAGAAAAGTAACCAACCACTGAGCTATTATCACTACCTAAAGCATTCAAAGATGTGGAAAAAAGATAATTCAACAAAACCAAATAAATAGTATTTAAAAAACAGAGATAGAAAGTAATATGGTCACCAGAGTCTCCAGATCATCATCTTCTCGTGCATATTTTGCATAATCATTTCTAAGAGTTCTCATCAATATCATTGAGACCAAACCAGTAAGGAAGATAACCATCATGAAAGAATTGAAAATGGAGAACCAATGAATCTGCAGATAGGAGAACCATTTAGTGGTTTCAATAATCAAAGTTCTTGAGGAAGGTATAAAAATGCCATAAAAACATTGAACTAAAAATTCATCTTAAGTAGCTTCTCAAATCCTGAAAGTAACAGTTATCAACATATTGTGAAAAACGGAAACAACTACTGATAAATAGTTCAGATTGCTGAAAATGAAAGCACAACCTATCACTGAGAGAAAATGAGCCCACTAAACACGCACTAATGACCATTATTCACCTGGTGCTCAAAGAAAGGGTAGTCTAGGTAAATGTCAAAACGTCGTGCAAAAGTGACATTTGTTGGAATCCATTTGACAGAGTAGGTCATGTCCAATTTCTTTCCCACTTCCAAGGGTTTAGGGGTTTCTTGAGTGAGATTAACATGAATAATCTGCAAAACAAGAAGCAAATTTAATACAAAGGATATGCCTAAAAATTGAAACATGTGATCCACAAGGAATATCAGAATCCATGACCTGATCTCTATTGTATTTGACAACAATGTTCTTGTGTGTGAAAAGAACATGCTTGCCACTATCACTGTTTTTATCAGGATGCAGATCACCAACAAAGCCTGGGCATCAATAGCATAATTTAATGAATCATGTCAAATCATCTTAAGACTCAAAAATTAGTCAATAGAGTCGATAAATATGCATACCCCATAAAGGCAGATCATCTGGATGAGTCACATCATAAAACGGTTGCCATGTTGGAGAGGGAATGGCAAATGAGTAAGAGTTCCAAAAAAGAACATAATGAGAACAGAAGAAACACATTATAGACAAATAAACATGCAAGACTAAAAAAGCATATTCATTGAGCAATCCAGGCAGTAAAGGAACAAAAGCAATGAACAATATACCCATGAAGAATTCAAACCAATATGTATTTTCAATTGCATCCTTGAATTGCTTAACCTTTGCTGCATCCAGTGCAAGTTCACAAATGGTAGCTCTGTCCACATTTTCTGCAAGGAAAAGACAGATAATTGGTGTGGTCAAATAATTCATTTAGTGCTTCTTAAACATAAACAAGATACTGAAAGGTCTACATACTCTGGAACTTTATGTCAATCTGGCTGTCAATGAGTTCATTTCCACCGAGAACCTCACCAAGGCCACCCCACTTATGAGCAGAATTGCCAGGTGGTTGGCAGAATGGAAGGCTGTAATAGTTATATGTTTCTTGTGGATTATTATAAGGGCCAACTTTATTTACCCAAAGTGTAACCAGATCATCTTGTTGATACTGCAGGCAGTCACCTTACACTTTTAGCAAAATCCAACCAGATAATATGTTTTACTCATCAAATTAACACCAAGATTCAAAGTACCAGATATACAAAGAGTATCAAAACGGCAATTTTAATATACAAAATAGATATGATGGAAAAATTAAGATACACATGGATACACTAGAGAAACTCAAATAATCCTAAAAATATATATATACGAATTACAAGAAATCTGCTTTTCTGGCTATAAATAAGGTACAAATGCACAAGAAACATATACTATAATACCCTATGAATAAAATGGTCACAACTCATTGAAAACATGCCACATTTACAAGATGTAGGTATCATTGGATAAATAACCAAATAATCTATCTCTTAACCATCATAATCATACAAAATGTAGGCTGAAAGGATAGTTACATGACTGCATCTTCAACTCTCTTAAATGCTAAAAGCTCTCTAACAAGACTAAAAACTAATTTGACCATTCAATATGATTAACCCTCTTCTAAGACAAAATAAACCAGTAAAAAAACTCAAAATACTAAAACTCTAATGACCAAGAAAATAACATGAAATTTCCATTGGTTCAAGAATGAAGAAACTCGATACTTTTCCTCATGGAAAATTCTTGGGTCATTTAGGAACTCACTAACCACCTAAATGGCAAACTCTCTGTACAGAAAACATGTATTGCAAATTTAGTAAAAATTCTAGCAAAACTTGTGGTGCAATTTAAGATTTATGATCAGGAGATAGCCCAAATTAATAATTTCTGGTACTTTGGATTAATCATCTACAATGAAATTAAAGAGGATGTTTCCCATAGATTAGAGAAAGGTGATTAAAATGGACATGTGCATCTAGTGTGCCATATGATTGACACAAACCAATTACCAAAAAAATAAGTGATTGACATAAACTAATATGACTAAAAGGAATATTCGTTTAGACAGTTGCAAGTCTATCATTGCTATATCAGTCGATGTCCTGGTAATGCAGGATCCAAAGAGTCAAACTTTTTATGTACTGGTAATACAGGAATTTTCTGGACTGTTTATGTATGACAGAAGTGATATTTTGGTCATTTGATTATTATTGTGGTACTTTGATCATTTACAAATATGTAGATACAACCTATTAGTTTCAGTTGTCTTGTGATATTTCAATTGTTTAGAGTCACTGGTCAAGTAGTTTAAGAGCTATTTAGTTTTTTTTAACGTTTTTTATAAGTCACAGAATTTTTCTAGGTATATAGTTGCAAAAATGAAAAATGAATTTTTGAGCTTATTTTCTACTTGTGTGACTTTTGGCATATGATTCCAAAGACCCTAGAGTTATTCTAGAAACCCTACAAATGATTCCTAGGTTTGAGTGATCCAAGATGCTACACTTGTCTCAATCATTCTGCTGAATGCCATATTTGCTCTTGATGACAGAATGTTATAGGCTGATAACATGTAGATATCAGTGGGTGGGTAGGTAGGGAGGCAAATGCCTTGGCAGATTATCTTGCTAAACTGGGGTCTACTAGGGATCATTTATTTTGGGCAGCATTGTAATCCTTATTTCTGATCTCTTGTAATGTTTAGGGAATTAGGGGAGGGTGCATCCCGTGCCTCTCCAAGGGATTCTTGTAAATTTTTACTTCTCTTGATTACTGAAATCATTTTCAATTATCAAAAAAAAAAAAAATGTTATAGGCTCTGAGGTTCCAACTGGAAGTGTCACAACCATTTAGAAAATAAAGAGGCACTCTTATCTCTAAGCCCTCTAACCCCATCCCCACATCTTCTATCCTCTTGAAGGCTTCAAGCCACCTTAACAAGTGATTAATATCTTCTGAAATTCATTAAGCTTCTAATATACATAAATCCTTTGTAGAATGATTTCTTAAGATACACCAAGGCATTTCTTGGACAAATTCTGCCATTTCTCATGCTGTACAACTTTTTGTACTTAGCACACTTTAGATGTTCTGTGAATGTGATATAGGACCATTTCCATTCTAATCCTTTGATCAAAAACTTATGGCTGTTGATGACTGCAATGGCTTCTTGAAGGAATAAGAAAAAAAATAGCAAGAGAAAGAAGAGAGAGAGAGAGAGAAGAGTACCAAGAATCACTCATGGGGTACCTAGAATCACTCTAGGGGATGGGAATCACTCACCATATTTAACATAAGCTCAAAAAAGCACAATAAACTTCAGTGATTTTTGTGTAAAACATCCAGATGTCTTTATAGACACTAATCTCATAATAATACCTCAACTCAAACTGTTAGACTTATAAGAATCTTAGGAGTCAAACTGTTAGACTCATGAGTCCTAGGAGTCAAACTGTTAGACTCAAGCTGAACTGCCATGTCCTATTTCAATTCAAAGAAGACTCAATAACTCTAATCCTACTTATCTAGTAAACCAACCGACAACTACTTTTGAGTAACTCTCTTCAACCAGTTTATTGAGACTCAATGATGTCAATAAGTACAAAGGCTGTTCAAGTTGACATTAGAGAGGTAGAGAGGATGGACAAGAGAAAGGTGTTGCAGGCCAGCTTGGTCAGTAGGTTCATGGTAGTCATTTCTGAGACTGAAAAGGTAGAAACATGGGCAAGGTTTGAATGGGGAAAAGAGAAGGTGACGGGTGAGAGAACTTAACAAATGTTTGTTATTGTTTATGTTCTTCAATAGGAAGGATGTTAAATGAGTATTGAAGAAGGAAAAGTTAAGCGAAGAAGTGTGATCTTAGACTAAGCTGGCGGTTTCCCATAGCAGGAGAGATAACTGGAGATATAAGCAGGCATGTTCTAATGGAGTAGGGTGGTAATATGTTGGACAATGTATTCCCTCAGCTCCAACCAAATTGATGTATTTTGGCATTTATTAGTGAATAAAATCATATCATTATTATTTCATGTATGTTTTAGTATGTTTTTGTGTATTACCCCCAGTGATTTAAAAGGCACTCCTAAGGCGTGCCTAGGCACACAGGCAAGGCRCATTTTAGGGTATGCGCCTCGCCTAAGTCCTAGGCACACACCTGGTGCGCCTGATGCGCCTCAGCCCAGGCATGCGCATTTTGAAAATTTGGTGCTTTTTTGCTTTTCTTTTAACATAACGGCTGGGCCGAGGGCTTCGTGCCCGGACCCCCGTGCCACGCCCCTCAAGGCAAGCCCAAACAAGTCCACGTTAGGCAAGAACCCCCAATTTGGTAATGTTGTTCATTCATCCATCCTAATAAAATGTCTTCTTAAAAAGCAACTAAAACTATAAAATCATTATTTTTTGTGTGAAAACTAAGAATTTAAGACCTAACGTGGACTTGTTTGGGCTTGCCTCGAGGGGCGTGGCACAAAGGCGGCTCGTAGAATCAGGAATGTAACATGTTTTGCATTACATTAGCTATGTGAAGAACTACAATTGAGTGAAAAAAGAGATTAGAGGTTTTACATGCTTGAAAATGTTTTATAT